TGTTGTCAATTTATTTTTACTTGATGGTTATATGATGATACTAATAGAATCTGAAAGGCGCATTAATGTCAATGCCATGTACATCCAAGTAGTTTTATGTCCATTTAACAGTTTTGTAATCAGTTTTTTTTTGTTTGGGTCGATACTATCATCCATAATAACATGTAGTGAGGAGTGGGGAACATTTTGGAAACGTAATAGAATTTCTTAGAAAATCATAGCCATAAAAATTATGAAAATGATGAAGTGAAAGTGTCTGAAATGGAGTAGAACCATGAATAGTATTAAAATATTATACTTATTTTCCAAAACATAACTGAAATTGAAGTCTAATTGAATTGAAATACAGCACTGATGATGTTTTTTTGAGCTACGCAATGTGTATTATACCGTTCAGCTTAAACATGATACATTATTTTCAGGCATAATGGAACGAATGTGTAATTTTTATGTTGTTTGATAGCATTATTTAGAAGATAGTAGTACATGTTATTGGACCACTCATGCATGTAGAACTGTTGTATCAAGTATCTAGTGTTACATAAATATGTATGTATGAATATCCAACTGACAAATTATTATTGCATTTTGCCGAACTGCCAACAATAGTTTCTGCCTTTATTTAAAGTATTTACGTAACGTGAGGGAATAATAGAGATATAATCATGAATAGGGCTGGTAAACTGCATTTTCCGAGCAAATCAACATTATTGTCTTTAGAAGCTCACTTTGATAGTTGATAAAATGATATTAAAAGTTATCTAAAACTGAGATAAGTAATATAAAAGAAAGTTACCTTGCGAATTATCAATTACAATGCGCTCCTTCCAATTCCAGTTTAGAAATTTACAGGTTGCTATGGTATTTTCCTTTTAATAATTGACCTGTTTCGGGAATATTCATATATATATATAACTTGAGACGTGGTCATTGTCGTCTAGACCAGTTAGGTGAAAAATTAAAGCTTCCGCCTTTTGTTGGGTACTTCGACAAAATTTAAGCAAAGAGGACTCTTTATACTTTTTTTAATTCTCTCTAGCTTTCAATGGACTTTGCCATCATCATCAGGAGAGTAGTATGTGAGAATGTTGCTAATTGTTGTTTACGTATAGGATGAGGGAAACGTCCAGTAACATGGTGAGAGCTGGATAGATTGTACAATGGTCAAAATTATATAAAATATGACAAGAACAAGTTAAAAACAGATTAAAAATTATTTAAAAAACATTAGAGCATTACATCGTGAAGCCACTTGCAATCATCAAGTGGCTTCACGATGTAATGCTCTAATGTTTTTTAAATAATTTTTAATCTGTTTTTAACTTGTTCTTGTCATATTTTATATAATTTTGACCATTGTACAATCTATCCAGCTCTCACCATGTTACTGGACGTTTCCCTCATCCTATACGTAAACAACAATTAGCAACATTCTCACATACTACTCTCCTGATGATGATGGCAAAGTCCATTGAAAGCTAGAGAGAATTAAAAAAAGTATAAAGAGTCCTCTTTGCTTAAATTTTGTCGAAGTACCCAACAAAAGGCGGAAGCTTTAATTTTTCACATATATATATATATATATATATATATATATATATATGTATATATGAACAGAAATCGAGATAACGAATTATGGAAACATGAAATCAGCGACTACACAGCTTGGGCCCTAAAGACGGATGCGAGAGCCATCGCGTGACGTCACGGCTGAACATGAGCGCGGTGAACTGCAGCGTGCCAGATAAAAAATGCCATAACTTCCTCAAATCTCAAGATATAGGAATCATTGTTGTAAATCTAACAGAATTTCCTACTACAGGAAACGTCCTAATTCAGAAAGGCTCGTAATGTCATCGCTATATTACACGGTTCATTCATTCATTAGATCTAAATGTAACCCGACCCAATAAGTGGGACCCCCACCCACGTTTTTTTTTCCAGCCCATGTGCGCTCTGCAACAGAGCTGGAGCATCATTCGCCGTACCGTGATCCCGTGCTCTAAAAATACACCAAGCCACTGCATGAGGCATGATTTATTAATTGAGACTGATCTGCCTAATGTAGTTCGCAGCTTTCGTTTCTCGACTGTGTCTTCTGGAACGCGCTCTTAATGAATGACACCGTCTCGTAACGCCTTCTTTCACAGGTGCGTGCTGGTAATCCAAATTATGAACATTGGCAGACTGAGAAAATGGCGTCAGCTAGGTCGACACACACACGAACATCAGTTCATAAAGGACTATGTTTACACCGCTCAGATAAAACGACGAACATGCATAACAAAAAAATTAAATGGATCAAGTCAGTCTAACACCTCTCATTTTCGATATTTTTTGAGATTACATTACTCCCTCGCCAATGGTGTAGGAAGTAAATTAAACGGAGTATGACACGGTCGATGAAGATACAGTATGAAATGATGTAGGGGCAATCCCAACTCTCACATCATAGTAACTGCAAAACATTTTCAAGATATTAGTTATATTTAGTCACAATCTATTGAAATGCCCAGAATATTAAAGGTATTAACACGTTTCTGTGACATTTGAACGAAATTTTCCTGAGTTTTGACACCCATCTTCCAATTATTTTGATCACATCAGCAGCAACAATGTAGATTGCTATGACAGAGATTAATAGAAATGTTGTGTTTTACTTAAACATCGCTCCAGAGTCATCAATAAAACCGATTTGTAAGTTGTATTATGGAGGTGTCATGTTCCATACAAAACCCGACATCGTTCGCACACAGTCGAAAGCACCATCAGCGTGGACGAAATGCTTGGAAGCGCACATTCCACTGTCGATGAAATTGATACAAAGTCTCGGCTGCAGTGTGTAACAAGCGGCGTTGCCAAATTATTTTCATTTTCATTCACCGCTCATTAGTAGGAAAATATTACAGATCTTCAAAAACAATGTCTGGCCTTGTGCAAGAGCAAGAGCAATTTTGAGTATTGCAATGATTCGGAAAAATAAATTTCATGAAACGAGATGAAACAGTACGTAAAAATGTACCAATACGAGAAAAATAAAATCTTTTCTTGTTTTTTCATCCCGATAAAACTTTTTTTTGCCGGGATATGAACAAATTTGTCCGTTGTTTTGAGCGTGATGCGGCATTATACGAAATCTCGCAACCGTTAACCCTTACTCAAACATCTCTGCTCTTGGGTAAAACCTAAAAAAATTAGATAAATATTGTAAAACAAAATTCCAGACTTTTTCTGAACATAATGAAAAATATGTTTACATTCATATTAATACACAATACGCTAATAGTTTTAGAACATTATTGTTTCAGATGGGATGGTCGATTTTTGCTCTTAGCGTTATTAATTAACCACCATGCCGAATTTCAACCTGTCATTAGGATTTATTTTTTTTAAACAGGGGAAGGACGGGGACGTCACACGGACTCATGCGGGGGAACACCAGTGCATGTGACATGCACACATTATGGCTCCGTCTTAGAGATCTGTTGGGTGGTACCTCCACGCTCGACAGTCTGAGACCCTCTATCACCTACACAATATCTATAGCCAAGAGAAAAATTATATTGGATCAGAAAAATAGTTTCCCAGAGTACTATTCTATATAGGTCTTCGAAAAGACTGGAAAATCAACAATGATACTATAATTGAATCAACCTGTGAACTAGCTGTTTGCATAATCTTTATTTTTGACTTCAGGAATTTTTGAAGAATCATCACCAAAGTACTTTGTTCCTTAGCAACCGTGTCATGAACATGTATTTCTCAACTAAAAATGTTCACCGCAATAAAAAGACGCTGAAATTGCAGACCAGCAGCTAATACAAATTAACTTGATTCTATGTAATTCCCAATGCTGTGGAAGAAAAATGTCTTGTCGCCGTGGGAAATTGTATGCCACCGTATGTTGTATTTCTGCGAGTGTGCGTTTGATAACACGTACTTACCGACTTACGTTGGAAATAATTACAAGTGTAATTCCAGTGGGTTGCGTCAGCCTAAAGGGGTCAATAATGTTTTCCACTCTGAATTGCAGGTCAACGCAGTAGTGGAAAAGTTGACTGACGCGGTCAATTTAGAATTCGTTCAATAGAATAGAAAAGGCTTTAAGCTACTTCATGCAGTAATAAATATTATTTCCAAAAAAGGTTTTAAATTTACAAAGTGGTAGACACATCAAACCAAAATAGTATCTCCGAAGTTTTTTTTAAATACTAACATTACTAAATGGATTAACAAGATAGATTGGTCTACATTTTTAGACCTCCAACAAACATTGACTTTTTTCTACACCCTCAGATTTAAATCTTTGTATATGGAAATTTTCCTTTAATTTAACATCGTAACATTGCACTACAAACTTCTTTTTTAGAAACTGTTCAAGATAAGATTGAGCCTGAAATTTGCTGTATTGTATGTTCAAAAATATGCAATGTCTAGCATTTATTCTGTATAAATATAAATAAATAAAATCCGCATACATATATTTAATAGAATTTGTAACCTTTGTGTCTGATGCACAATAAGTAAAATGAAAAATTATTATGCCCTAGGGACATAGATTGTCACAAATTCTACGAAAATACCCGATCTGGTTGCCTAATTTCCGACACATATAATCAGCTTGTTTGATTAATGTTAGTTGCTGATCTGTTATAATTCCTAACTATCTAGGAGTCCATATAGTTTATGCTACAGACCGAAAAGAGCGGGAGTAATTTAAGTTATTGAATTGACGCGGACTTAAAGTGTACCTACCATCTATTCAACGTTCAGGCGAGACGCTCAATGTGTTCCACACTTCTTCCAGGGCTTGTACCTCTCACTTTTCTTTCCCTCTTTCCATACATATGATAAAATATAAACAAGGCAGATTCATTTTTGCAGTCATCCAAATAGTATACTATCAATGATTACAGTTACATTCTATGTTTGTAAATAAACTATTTTATTGATCTTAAAAATGACCTTAACTTTTTTAGCACAAATTTCTTTTTTTTCAGACTATGTAGCCGGAGGGGAGCTGTTCACTCACTTATACCAAAGAGACCATTTCACAGAAGACGAAGTTAGGATATACATAGGGGAAATAATTTTAGCACTAGAACGTTTACATTCGGTAAGTAATTCACACTTTTTCAGCATTTTCACTAATGAACGTAGGAAATATCACATATTTATTTATAATAGCTGAAAGAATCATATTAGATAAGCTCCAGTCATTTGCTTTCGAAAATGACCTTATCCCTAAGAATCAGCATGGATTTCTCCCTGGTCGATCAATAATGACCAACCTTCTCCACTCTCTCAACGATTGGACTCAGTATCTGGACACAAAGACTCCTGTTGATATAATCTACTTAGATTTTTCTAGGGCTTTCGATCGCGTACCACATAGAAGGCTTCTGTTTAAGTTGGAATGTATGGGAATAAGAGGCGAGTTGTTACTGTGGATTAAGGCTTTTCTCACCGGGAGGACTTTCTCTGTGCGCGTCAGTGATAGCCAGTCTCACCTTCATCATGTAGCAAGTGGAGTTCCTCAAGGCTCTGTCTTGGGGCCAGTGCTGTTCCTTCTGTATACAAGTGACCTGCCCGCATTGATTTCCTCCACATGTTCAGCTTATGCCGACGACACCAAGATTTACAATACTGTCGTAAATTCTGCTATGCTTCAACGAGATCTTGATATTGTTTGTCAATGGTCAGTCAGTTGGCTTTTACCCTTAAATCTAACTAAGTGTTGTGTCCTTCACCTCGGGAAGACAAATCCGCGATTTACATACAAGATCTCTGACCACAACATCGAAGCAGTTTCGAGCCACACTGATCTGGGCGTTGTAGTCAACGATCGTCTTTCCTGGTCAGAGCATATTCACCACGTTACATCAAAAGCCAAGAAACTTCTATATATGCTGGAGAGGTCTTTCAAAGGATCCGATGTCAACACTTGCGCCTACATTTACAAGGCATTCGTGAGGCCAATTCTTGAATTCGCTGGCCCGGTATGGGACACTGTGCTTCTGCGCGATAGAAATCTCGTCGAATCGGTACAGCGTCGGGCTACTCGTATCCCTTTTGGAGCACGAAGACCAAGCTATGAAGATCGCCTTGAATTATTCAACCTGACCTCATTCTCTGAGCGAAGACTTCGTGGCGATCTTATAGTTACGTTCAGGATACTTCATGGTTTGATGGGCACCAACCTCATGCATCTATACCATCTGTCGCGCAGCAATCTACGCGGACACAGCTTCAAACTGCATAAGGAGCCATTTAAAACAACAGTCCGACAGTGGTTTCTTCCCAACCGCATACTCAACACCTGGAATAGTTTACCTGAAAGTGTGGTTGGTGCTACTTCAGTTAATAGCTTCAAAGTGCAGTATGATAGCTGGAGGAGTGTACAAACTTTATAGCTATGAACTGTATTTTTTTATTTTTTTCTATTTGATGTATTTGTGTTACGTGTCCGCACACTATATTTACTGCATGAGCTTATAGTACTGTGTACTCTGCTCATCTCAATTATCATAATAATAATAATAATAATAATTTTTATGAATTATTGTCAGAATAGGAAAAACTCAAATAAATTATCGTTCTCGGGTCCTCTTTTAAACACTCTGTTCAAGACGGAATCTAGCTGCTGATTTAATGACGCCTTTGTTCAACAATATGTCTGAGTATTCTTAATGCTTTTCGTCTAATTATTTCATGGGATGTATATAGGTGAATGAAAAAGAATATGTTATCAATTGTTTTGTCAAAAAATGCATTTTTCGTGCATTTTTATGCTTTTTTTTCTACAATCATAGCATGTTAAAAAGTAATAATACAGCTGAAAATATTCCACTTTTATAGTAGATTAGAGGGAAAAGCAAATAAATAAGAAAAATGTATTTACTCGCTCTCTACTATAAAAGTTGATGATTTTTGAACAATTCCAGAGCTGTAATATTATTTATTAACAAGTTACGATCGTAGAAATAATAATGCATAAAAAATGCACTTTTCGACACAAAAGTGAGAAATTGTTATTTTTCGGTCATCTCTATACACAACATGAAACAATCAGACGAAAAATCGATCGATAAGTTCTAAACTCATGAAACCAGATGCTGAGTTCATCTGGATTCATCAAACGTGAAATCGTAATAATGATCTAGACTGGCTCTTTGACATTGGTTTCCCAATAGATAGTGCTGAGGCTAGTACTGAGTTAAGCTAAGCCTGTTTCACTCTAATCATTCGGAAGGTGATGATTAAAAGTGAAGCATACTTCAATTTGCCTAGACCACTTTCTTGTAGCGGTATAAGATTTCATAATTTTTCTTTCACTCTTCACCTAATCCAAGATCTCTCACTTTATGTGAGCAATAAAATCGTCACCCAAGGCTATACCAGTGTCTATCATCAGTTTCACAAGTGCTACTGTGCTCATATATCTGTGATGCCCTGAAGTACCTGCTTTGATGCCCTGGAGCGTGGAAAGCCTACTGCAGAGCGCTGGTTATGAGCCCCATAAAATAATACGATCCTAACGCGGATAAATGGCTGATTATAACGAAAACTTCGTTTATGAAATGCAAACGACGGATAAACACTCTCGCCTGCCGATGATTTTCGCTTATTTAATGGCTATTATGTGTAATAGAACAGAGGATTTCTCCTAACTATACGCTATCTACTAGTAAACGTTTTACCATGGAGGCTGTAAATTTTTCAGGGTTCTTATCACGACTATGTGGAACTGTATAGTCGCACAAGATTACAACTGTTCGGAAACAGCTATTTTTAGAACTGGAATGAGGCTTGTGGCTTAGTGAACCAAAAAAAAATATTACCTGGAATCCACGACTTTTTGTATTAGTGGCGCAATGAAGCCATGGTAGCCCATGGCTAACTATATTAATTTCCAGTTAGGATACCATCACCTACTATACAATCCATACTTCCTAGCCTATTTCTATCAATATATTCTCAAAAGCACCTTATCTAGGTATATTATCGCAGCTGAAAAATTCTTCACAAGTTTTCCCAGCATCTTTATCTCAAATGTTTAGCCTCCTTGCTGATTTTCTGGCTAGCCTGGGACCAGGGACTTCTGCATCGGTCCCAAACCTATGCTGGGTATAAGCAGACGCCAGGTCAGCGCCGCAATGAATGGGCTTATATGGGCCTGGGAAAAGTGTTGCAGGTCATGAGGTTCATGGCGCGACCCGACAAACGTCGGTCGCGCTGGCTACTGGACAAAGGTCGAGAATCCTTCAATCTTTTGGTATCGGTTCTCACAGGCCACTTTAGACTGCACACTGCACATTCACTGTTCCCCTCTAAGAGTGAAAAGGTATTCTATCTGCCTCACGTGCTGGGAGGAGGACGAGAGTGCGTTCTACTTTGTAGCCTTTTGCGCCGTATATTGCATAACGACCAAAATATTTGGTGGCATGAGTTTCGTGGTGATGTCACATACTCAGCGGAGGGTCGGACATGCTGACCTTTTTTAGGAAATCAAGAAGGTTCGATAGATGAAAGTGTATAAACATGTGGAGTAGAGTGTTGTTACACTTCGGCAAAAAGGGCCAAAGGCGAGCTACTTACCAGGCTGTGGCTCCTCACTACTACTACTACTACTTCAGCCTCCCTTGCGTACGTAACATTGTAACGTAATAGAGAGTGAAATTTCGTAAAATCGTCCATTTTATGAATTTACTAGTTTGAATTGACCATTATTTCCACCTCAAGCGGTACAAGTTACTAGTTTGAACAAAACAATTCCACGAAAAGTTCGACGACAGCCGAAAAACCTTGATAAACCGTCTTTATCGCTTTTTGTAGCGAACTACGTCAAGTTGCCGTTATCACAACAAACGCAAGTAATTTCAACGAAAAACAAAAGTGAAGTTTGCTTTTATATGCTGCGATATAGATCACAAAATTGTGATATTTACTTAAACCGAATAGAACAAAGGTTTTGATACTCTAAGACGCACATCCTATATATAAACCAAGTGCATGTTTGAAAGTGTGATTCAATCTTCAGTGCATAATCATCGTCTTTCATTATTATCAACAAAACATTGCAGTTTTATGCAGATCAGATGCAGTAATGTAGGTTATCTGAGAAGGCTCGTTGTTTACTTCTGAAATATCGTTAATATGATTGTGGAGTGGGCATTTACTTTGTGCGTAACGTTAGCGCCACCCAGCGGAGGTCAGTTGGAAATATTTTTGTTTGATACGTGCAATACGAAAATAAACTTATATTAGTGAAATTAACAAATAAGTCGATTTGAGATCAGGGACAATTTGATTGACCCCTAGCCCTGATTTTACTTTTGCTTTTGTCTAAGCTAATTTTCTGTCCTCAACATTTGCATATGTTCCATTTGTTGGTCTGATGATGATTGAATAAGAAAATTATAGACATTTTATCAGACCATTTTTTGTCGCTACGCTTGCTAGACATCAGAACCCGTCGTCCTTAGGGTTTAACTCCTTAAAACCATGTACACGTGGCTACTAGTGAGAGGCGCAGGATTCTGGCAAGAGTTGCAAAATTATGCTATAGGGAACGCTTATAAATAGCAAGACCTTGAGAAAAAGAAATATTGGCAGCTAATGCTAAGAAGTCAATGAAAACTGGTGTTGCGCGTGATATACGCTTACACTACTGGTGGTGGCTGGTATCCCGCCAATGGATTTGCTGTTTGAAGCGAGATGCGCGCTCTATAAAAGCTTGATTGACAAGGCAGCGGTTCGGATACATTACTATACTCAACTGTTCCTTACAGTACATGGTTGTTTTGACTGCTACCTGAAGAGGCTAGGAAAGAGAAAGAACGCGAACGAAGAGGAGGATATCACTGCTAATCTACTCGAGGTAGTAGATGGGTTGACTACCAGAGACTTGATGCTCAACGAAATGCTCACTGCTGACTGAAAGTAGTTGCAAAAACTAGTCATGTAAGCGGGAGCAAATGGGTTGACATTCAACCAACAGTGAGGCGGATGATGCTAAGCAAGATACAGGATAACAAGAACAGAGCGAAAACAGCTTTCAACTTATGCTGGGTTGTACATGTACATAGATGCTTGTGTATATGTATATGTACAACC